ATATATAAAAAATATATATATATATATATATATATATAAAATTAAATTTTTTATATATAAAATATAAATTATAAATTATATATAAATAAATATATTAAATTATAAAATTATATAAATAAAATATTAAATTAAAATATTAAATTATATAATATTATTTTGTAATATAATAATATTATATTTAATATTAAAAATATTATTATATTTAAAATTTCAATTGATATTACGAACGCATTAAATAAATAATAATTAATTTTTAAATTTAAATACTATAACATTCATACATATATTTATATATGGAAAACAATTTAATTATTTAATTTTCATTTAAGATAAAAAAATGCATACTATTTGTTTTTATCATTTTAATGATACAAATGATTTTTAATATGTTGCACGAAATATTTGCAATGATATTTTTGCAATATTATCATTAAATTTCAATTTGTTCGAAATAAAGGGTAATTCGAGTAAAAACTCGAACTAAGAAAAGATAATCGGATGGTGTTTGCCCTAAGGGACCAATTAGTGAAACGTCAATCTGAATTGGAGTCTACTGTCTGACTATAGCAACGATATGACTACTTAAACTTTGGAAAAGGTTAATTGGCAACTATCAGTGATTTGTCTTATATCGTGTACCGTAACTACTTACAATTTTTCTTTATAATTTTTTTTCCAAATCTCTTTTATTTCCTCCTTCACCCCTCTTACCCTTTGTATTTTTCATCAATTTTATTTTATTTTATTTTTTTTTTTTTTAACGATAAATACGAAACACAATATGCAACATTGTTAGTGGCATCGGGAAGACCAGGATTTTATTTTTTTTATTAGAAAATAGATATTTTCGATAGATGTGTGCAAAGTGAGGCATTCAAGGGCTTAAAAATTGAAACATGAGCCAAAGAAACGGCGCGTTTACAACAGGGCCGAGTACGCAGATTAGGCCCCCACGAGCGGTTAGGCGAATGGTGGTAAGCGTACTCGGTTTTGTCATAAACGCCTTGCTTCTTCTGGCGAGTGTCTTAATTAAGCCCAGTGAATGCCTCAGTTAGGACATATTTATCGAACAATATTTTTTGTAACGAGTGCTTTCAAAGTTCAATAGAGAGAAATTATTCATTTACAAAGAAATGTTGTCATTAGCTTAACTATATTAGTTATCACTTAGTTGTATTTTGGTCGAAATTTTGCCGGTAATAAATCATGTGTAACATTTTTAGCAGCAGATACTAGGTCTGCAGGCGTACAAGGTCTCGTTAATTCATTCATTGTTCACGTAGATTTTTAACAAGTTTTTTTTTTTTATTTTAATTAAAGTGATAGATAATTTTCATTCCCGCACGGTCAATCGGTTGGAAAGTACTACTTTTTCGCACGCTACTATAGTAACAATCATAGTTATTACATGGTTACCAAAATTTTTATTCCCGCACGGTCAATCGGTTGGAAAGTATTACTTTCCTGCACGCTACTATAGTAATAACCATAGTTACTAGATAGTTACCACCATCACGAGAATACGCGACTTTACGGTTGTTAGGAAAGGCTACAAAATTGAACTTTGAAAGCAGGAGTTACAAAAATGTAATAGTTTTTCAATTTCTTTTTGTTTGCTTTTTGTTTTTTGTTTGTTTGTTTGTTGTTGGTTGTTGTATTAAAATAAATATATGGAAAAATTAAATACTTACGAAAAATGGTAGTAAACCATCAGCACGGTCACGGGCCAATGCTTCTTCAAGTGCTTCACCTCTCATGCTGAATTCCTCATCAGATTCGATGTATCGCATTTTTACCAATCCAATAAGTCCGGCTTTTTCTACGCTTGAGTGTGCCTTTTTTACATAATAAATAAATAAATAAATAAATAAAATATTACAATGGTATTATTAAAAAAAAACTACATTTGAATAACAACATTGTTTTCTTCGTTTGTATTCTATAATAATGTTCATTATTATTTGCAATAATATGTTAGTAAAAAAAATAATAAATAAAACCCATTCTATAATAAAAATAAATAATATAACCCATACTATAAAAAAAAAATAAATAATAAAACATTTTTTATAATACATATAAATAAATAAAACCCATTCTATAATAATGGTAATTATTATTTGTAATAATTTGTTAGTAAAAGAAATATTAAATCAAATCCTTTCTATAATAAAAATAAATAATATAACCCATACTATAAAAGAAATAAATAATAAAACCCTTTTTATAATAAAAATAAATAAATAAAA